GGCCTGTGTGTCGAGGCATGCCTACAGGGTGTTGAGAAGCCATGCCTCGAGTTGGATTGATTCGAGGCATTGCTGTCGAGCCATATTTGTCACTCGTACACCATCAACTCCATAGTTACTTCAGGTTTCAGGAAGACATGTCCTGTTCCGTTTGCAATATATCCCAGCTCAGTCCTTCAAATCATATGATCCCAAGCGTTCTTGAAATATGATTCCGTGCTATTCAACTTTTATGAAGGGTTCAACTTGATCCGGGGTAAGAAAGGCTTCCGCCTCGGGTGGTCTTTCAGGTGCATCGGAATGATCCGGAAATTGTTCTGATACATGTTCTTCTCCCGTTTTCGATATCTTTCTACTCGAAGCTTGAATTCTCCTAATTATAAGGTTTTTGGAAACAAGACTAAATCATCTCAAATCTTGATAAAGACACCGAATGATGAATCGGAAGGGAAAGCTTCCCAGTAAAGCAATCTTTGAGGCGTATCAGATTGGTCCGGAATGAATGCAAGACAGGTTCATTTTCTGTTGGCCATAGCTTTCAGCTCACTACTCCAAATAAAACTATTCTAAGTGTTCTGGAACCTTGATTCGAACCTTTTCCCTTTGGATAAAGACACCGGAGGCTGAATCATACGGAAAGCATTTATGGTATGGCGATCTTTGAAGCGTATCGGGAAGAAGGTTTAATTCATTGATGCACATGTTGGTTTAATTCAGCACAAAGGATCTCTCAAGGAAGGAATGAACTTCAACAAAATGCTAAGGGTAAAAAACAACTGATGCATACAAGAATAGACTCTCATCTACCCAATGCCCAAAATTGAATTCACCCTAACTATAAACCCATGAAGAACAGTCCCTAGCTACCCCTTACTTTTCCAAGGCTTTCATTGCCTTTTCAACCCATCTCTCACTTCACTCTCATTCTTTTTCTCACTATGGGACCTTTTTCTTTTAAAACAATGGCTGGTACTTCTCTTTTCACTCAGCTTTTTCAATTCTTATTTCATCTCTAGCTTCTTTTCTCATCGATTTTTGAAGCTTGAGCCCTTTCGGCTTCTTTTCTTTTCTTTTCACACTTTGAGGCTTTTTTTTAACACTTAGAGCTTTTTCTTTTCAGACACCAGCCAATTCACACCTTGCAATCCCCTAGCTGTCATCTCATTCTCTCTATTTTCACTCATTGATTCCCCAAGATCCCTTCCTAACCTACTCTAGTCTCATGATCCAGAGCTAGATCTACATGAAAGCCTACTCTTGTCGCTCTAAACCCAACACTTTTTGTCAAGTTCATTCAAAACAAGGCCTCGCATCGTTAAGGCTTCAAATATGGCTTAGTTAAGGGCAGGGAAAACTGTGTCAATGATGGAGATCAGCTACTTGGATTAACAAGAGTGGTAAAAGGGGAAAGATAATCCAAGTATGTTTATGCTATCTACAAGTTCATTCAAATATGCACCACATGATAAATTCATTTCAAATTAAGGTTCCACTTGTCTAGGGCTGAGTTCAAGTCACAATCTGCTTAAACTGAGGTTCAAACAATGATGCACATTTCATTTCATGTAAGCATCAAAGAACTAATAACTAGGGCAATGAATCAAACTCTTAAAATAATGCTGTCTCAAGGAAAAACCTATCATTACTCCATATGCATATGATGCAAACCTATATGAAATTCAATATAGACTATGAATATTTTTTGGTGTTCTAAAATGTGAATGCCATTAAATGAACATTTTTTTTTGTTCAAACTTTTTTTTGGTAGTTCTATGTACTTAGATGCTATGCATGAATGAATGAGACTCAAAGTGCAAAAGAGAAAATAAGAACATAGAAAAAAAAAATCCCCCACACTTAAATTACACAGCCCCTTGTGTAATAAAAGCATGAGAAAGAGGATAAACAAACATGAAAAAACAAAATGAAAAAGATGCTTGAATGATATGTACAAGTTTGGAGTGTTACCATATGTGTTTGTGATGGAATGGAAGAGTGGAATTGTGCATCTTAGGAGGCCAAACACCACTGTAAGTGTTGTTGTTTTGATGTTGCTCCTTGCACTGGTAAAAGCCTGTTTTTGCACCTTTGTACCCATGCCTCACCTTGGTGCCTCGCCTTGGTCAGTTCTTCATCAACCCGAGCCCTCATCTTCTCGGTTTCTACTTAATTATCCAACTCTGACTTGCCTTGGATCAACTCGAGGCCTTGAACCGAGGTATTGGACATTTTTCTCGGCTTTTTAAGCATGCCTGCCTTGAGTTGATTTTGGTTGAGGCATACATGTCGAGGCATTCATTTCTGGGCTTGATCATTCTTCTTTTCACCATGCCTCGCCTTGACACAACTCGAAGCTTTCCACCCGAGGCATATGTTCCTCATTCTGCTTGAAGAAATGCACCTGGCCTTGCCTTGTCCACCTTGCAGCCTCAGGCTGAGGCTTTGAGGATTTCTTCTCGGCCTCAGATACATGCATGCCTCGAGTTGGTTTGTCTTGAGACATATAGGTCGAGCTGAGGCCTCATTTCATACTCAGCTGTGTGATTCATATCTCACCATTTTGGTTACCTTTGCCTGGGATTTCAAGGCACAAACGCCTCCTATGACCTGAGATCACTCAGAAAACACATCAAAAGCATTCTAAGAACAAAAAAAAAGAAGCCAATGTTGCAATCTGACTGATAATATCATAATACGAGCAATCCACCTTGTTGTGTATCTCTGCCATTTTCTTGTTGAAGTCCATGGAACCACTTGCTTGACTTTGGAGGATTTTCTGGATCAGGTTCTGTACCTCTTGATCCCTATTTCCTGAGTTCTGTTGGAAACTTTGTTGATGGGGAGGGTGATAACACCTGATTTTAACCACTTTTATGGATGATTTTCAATATCTTATGCAGGTATTTTCACTCATTTTTACAGGTTTTATAAGTGTTTCCCATGTTTTGGAGTTCTAAACGGCTTTTCAGGAAACTTGGAGTTTTGGAAAGCATTTTGGAGCAAAAGTACACTTTTGGATAAATTCTGGCCGTCAGAAATTTGGAAACCAAAGAAGACCTTCTAACCGTCTGATCATCCCCAAATTCAGAGAATTTATAGAGGAGACAACCAGCTTTCCAACACAATTGGAATCAATGCAATCCAACGGTTAGATCTCTAGATATCATCAATTCACTGAAGGAAAATCAACACAGCCCGGTAAGGGACAAGAGTTTTCACCTGCGGCCAAACTTCTTCCCACCTCGGCTCAGCCTCCCTCACCGGCGGTGGAGATTTGTCCGAACCTCAGAAGCCCAACTAAGGACCAAGACACTTCCTGCATTCATTTTAAAAGCTCTAGACGCCCAGACTTGAAAAAAACAGTATAAATACTCATTTTTAGGTCTTTTGTAGGGGAGCCTCTTTCATCTCTTTGAGAGAGAACTTCATTGTAGTTTTAGGTTTTATTTTTATGCATTTGTAGAAGCTTTTCATCGCCAAACTCTGTCTTCAATAAGAGAAGTTTTTCTGCAACTTTGTTTTCTTTACTTTACTGCTTTCTAGTTCTTTACTTTACTGTTTTCTTTACTTTAGTGATTTCTAACCGATGATGATGTTAAGCTCAGTCATGTCTGAGTAGTCCCCGAGTTGGGTGAATGGACCATAAAAGGGGATCCCATGTTCGATTGACATCTAGGTTTTTTAGGTTAAAGGATCCCAAAAATTAGTGATTAGATAATTAGGGTGACGAGAGTTGGCTAATCTTATAAGTGTCTATCCTAGTTTCAGATTCATAGAAAATCCTTACCTAGAATCCCTATGTCATTGAACATGAACCGTAGAGATGAACCTTAATCCTAGCGTCGTTTTTCATATAGTTTTCAAATGATATTATTTTAATCTTTTTAATTCCCTGCTTAGTTAGATTTAGTGACAAACCAAAACTCCCATTTTATCTGATTAGGTCTACGATTGTCTTTAGCATCAGTTAGAAGTCCTCAACAGACAAATCCATATGGATTCGATCACTAAGTACCACTGCGTTTGCTGTGTGCTTGCTGCTTGTCTAGTGTAAAACTTGTGTTGCCAACTGCACCCACACCAAGTTTTTGGCGCCGTTTCTGGGGATTTGTTTCTGTTTATTTGGTTTCTGAATCTACTTTCAATTCTAGACCACAAGATTTTCGAGTTCTGCTGGAGTTTTCTAACTTCTCTTTTTATCTTTGCTTTCTTTGCTCTCAGGTGCATGAAAACTAGGAGAAATCCTGCTAACATTTTACCGCCCTTAGACGAGATTTACAAACACGAAAGAGAACTTTGGAGACTCAGACGAAGAACACTCAAGATGGCGAATCTGAATGCCCATCGGGAAGATCTTTTAAACCGTGATCAAGATGATCACATTGGAGATGATGACCGTGATTCTATTCACGAAGATGGCCGAGAGGCTTCTCATGAAGAAGATGGCCATCCACAACTCGATGGAGAGGGAAATCAAATCCCTAGAAACGCTGCTCAAGCTGCTGATGATCAAAGGAGATAAGATCGGGATGATCCCAGAGAATGAAGGAATGATGAAAACATTGTTCCACATAATGGTAGAGAGGCCAATCGACCCATAAAGCTTGCCAATCCTGCGAGAAGACAACCCTGCAGTAGAGTTATTGCAGATTTCGATGCACCTCACAAGCACTTCCAAAATAGATCAGCTATTCAAGTTCCTGCCCCAGCAAGATGAGATTTCGAGATACCTCAGATTGTCTCTCTGGTGAAGCAGAATCAATTCCATGAAATCTCTACTGAGCATCCAATGGATCACATAGATCTTTTTGAAGAAAGCTGTGGAATGGTGAGAACCACTCCAGACACTCCAGACTATGTGAAGTGTAAGCTTTTCCTTTTCTCTCTAAGTGATAAAGGTTTTAGATGGTTAAAATCTATGCCATCTGGTTCTATTACTTTATGGGAAGAATGCAAGTCAGCTTTCCTGAACCACTTCTACGCCAAGTCAAGATCGAGCCAGCTAAGAAACAAGATCCAAAGTTTCCAACAAGGCCCAATAAAATCATTCTATGAGGCGTGGGAATTATTCAAGGGGTATGAGAGAGACTGCCCTCATCAAGGTTTCTCTGGAGCAAACCTGCTAAGCACCTTCTACAGAGGATTTCAGCAGAAGTATCTACTTTCTCTTGAGACTGCTAGCAATGGAGATTTCGGTTCAAAAACTGTGACACAATGGAGAGCACTCATCGAAAACTTAGCTGTAGCCAATTGATAACACCGTAATTTGACCACTTTAATAGATCGTTTTCAAATACTTTTTTTATGTTTTTTATTGCTTTCAAGTGTTTTTATTATGTTTTTCTAGTAGTTGTAGTTCCAAAACTCTTTTCAAGAAACTTAGGGAAAAGCTTAACAAAATGGATAGAAGACCAAATTTTCAGCTCAGAGTCAAACCATCAGAAGTTCACCCTCAAATGAAGACATTCTCACTGTCTGAACCAGCTCAAATTTGGAGACCTCAAAGATGGAACTATCAGCTTTCCAGCACACTTTTACAGCTTGGCAATCCAATGGTTTAATCAAAAGTTACGCGAAGAGGAAGATGTCCCGTAAACCAGCCGGCAAGCATTTCCACCCACAGCCAACAGCCTTTTCACCACGGTCAGAGGCCATACGACCGCGGCCAAGCATCAATTCACCGCGGCCACGTCTTTTCTGACCGAGGCCAGCTATCTCCGATTTAAAAGGCCCATTTATGAAGCTCAAGTCATTTTCTCAGCGTTAATTCTGGAACCCTAGAGACCATGGAGCATTGGAAACTGTAAATACATATCATGTAGGCCGTTTTTAGAGAGAGACGAAATACTTTAGAAAAGATACAACTTTAAGCTCTTGTTTTAAGTTTAGGGAGAGAGATCTATCTCTTGAACCCTTTTTGTTTCTATGTTATTTTCGATTTCTACTCTACTTTTTAATACTATGTTTTTGCTTTCGTTCATCATGTCTGAGTAGTTTTATTGGTTGGTTTAAGGGATTTTCGATGGGGGTTATATATGTTCGATGAGGATTCCGTTAGCTATTGAAGCCAAGTCCTAGAACTTTATCTTCTAAACTTATTTATAATGCATGGGAGTAGCATAATGAATTACAATCTGATCCCGGTTTTGGGTGTTGCAAAAGTTTTCATTCGAGGCCAGATCTAGTTCGAGAAAAGCAGATCGACCATAGGAGTGGAAACCTACCTATGGGAGAGCTGTGAATATTGATGAGTCTTAAGCTTACTGCATATTTTTTTTTTCCAGGGCCCGAGTGAAAACCTACTGGTCAGGGTTGAGAGAGATAGTTGGTTATGATCACGACAGTGGCATATTCATACGTTCGTAATTCGAGTTCTATAAGTTTTAGCTAGGATCTTATTAATTTTACTCTTTGGCAATGTTCTGAATCGTTCATCCCCCAGAGAGAATTTCCCTGAAAACCTAGCATCTCGTCTTTATAAATTTTTGAATAATCTAATAATTATTTTGACACTATAAATTATATAATTTTTTCTTAATACTTTGATACCCATTTTATATTTTTCAACCTAAATTCTTTTGTCGTTTAGTGATAAACACATACGTATCCATATAGTAGCGTCCACGTAGACACAAATATATGGATATCTATGCAATTATATAAATATATATATATATATATACACATCTGTATTTATATAGTAACGTACACGTAGACATAAATATATGGATATCTATGCAATTATATATATATATATATGTATATCCACGTACATAGAGTATAGATGGATGTAACTATATAGATATACATGTATATTTACATGTGTATCCATAGAGTTGAATACATATAGACACAACTATATAAATATATATGCATATCCACATGCATATATTATAGATGGATGTAACTATATAAATTTATATGCATATTTACATGTGTATCCATATATTTGCATACATATAGGTGGGTCCCGTGCCATTTAGTGTGTGAAAGCTGATGATTTAAAGTGGTCCCGTACGATTTAGTGTGTGGAAGCTGATGAGTAAATTTAAGTGGATCCCATACGTTTTAATATTTTCTGTAAGTAAATATAAGGTAAAAGGGAAAGGAGGGCAAAAAAGTCAAAAAAATTAGAGCAAAGTAAGATAAGTACCCCATTTCTAAAAAGTGTCTTTTTGGCAATTACACTTTAAAAAAGTGTGTCAAATGGTAATGTCACAAGTATCATCTTCAAAGTCTCAGGTAATTGAAAAAAAGGGTCTGAAAAATGATATTGGTTATAAAAGAATGGATAACATCTATGAACAGCTTGTACAAGAATCATGAGATGAAGATACAACAAATGAGTTGAAGTTATACTTAAGAGAGAGTATGGATAAACCAAACCTGATGAAAGGTACAGAGTATGATATCTTAGGGTAGTGGAGGAGATACAGTGCAAATTTTCCAGTCCTATCATTAATAGCTAAGGACATACTTGCAATACAAGAGTCTTTAGTAACATCTGAATCTGCATTTAATACTAGATGGTGGAAGTCTTGATGTGTACCGAGCAGTGGTTAAATATGAGATTTATATCAATGAAAATGGGATGTCAACATTTAAAAAAACATGCTTGCGGAGGTAGAGTTTGAAGATGATTTTATGAGAGGTAATTTCTTACATTTGAACTCTTATTGAATTACGCTTTATAACTTTGAGTATTAACTATTACTTTCTCTCATATTTCTATAGAGTATGAACCTGCATTCCACTTACAAGGATGAATGAACCTGAGATTTGGAGGTCTAAGCGAATCTCTAAAACTTAGAGTTGTGTCGTATGTATGGTTTTAATCTCTGAATCAGATTCTGATATGTAAATAGTCACTTAGTGTTCAATTCTGGATATATGTTTGTTTATGTTCAATTCTGGTTTCTGGAATCTGGATATATGTCTTTCCCTAAAAATCTTTCATGATTTTTTTTTTTTTTTGAATTTGACTCTGGTGGAAATGCTTTGTACTTTTGTAGATGGTGGTCTTTTGGAAAGTGAAACGTATAAGTGGTGGCGGGTTCTAGTAGAGATTCAAGTACCAACTAAGAGGTATCAGCACAAATGCCATCTATCGTGCTTTTCATTTTGAATCTTTAAAAGTTTGAACTTTGATCGTTTGATGAGAAAGTTTTTCTTAACAATGAAAACTTTTTAAAGTTCTTTGGATATCAAATTTGAACTTCGGATATATGAGTTGTATGCTTTAAATTTATGACTTGTTTTGTGTGTTCATGTTATGTAGTTATGCTAAAATTGTTGTGGATTCGAGTATTCTGGTTAAATTTTGGCTATTATAAACTGTATCGAGCATCTTTTTTGGTTTTGGGTAAAAAAAAATTCCGATTAGAATGATATCTGAAATAGTGGAAGCCCCCTTAGCCTACTGGTTAATGGGTTCATTAATGCTTCTACACCCAGAGATTCGGGTTTCGAGTCCTGGGAAGTGCAATTTATTATTAATTTGCAGATTAATGGAGACAAGCTTACAGGAAGTTTTCAACATGGTGCATGGAGATCCATTTGACGTGTTTGCAGGCGGGAGACTTGTGAAGAATTGTCGATGTAATAGTTCTCATAATTTGTAATAGAATAATAGATCAGTGTTAAAAAAAAAAAGAATGATATCTGAAATAGTTCGAACATTGTTCTGTTAAATTTAAGAACCAATATATCCAACCCTGAAATGAGTGGATCCGAACCGATACTGAACTGATAATCAATCAGATTCTATATGGGTGAAAAATTCCTCTACCCAAAAGACCGGATTAGATCGGTTCTTACCCAAAACCAAACTGAATACCCGGAAGCCAAGACCTAATTCTACGATGAGTGCCTTACTCTATGTTTGCCACTCGATTTGCTCGGTGCAGAAACCATTTCCAGGAACAAGACTTACATTAGAATCTCTCTCTCTCAAGCATTGTAATTTTTTTATTTTTTTAAATAAAATTTTACGTTTATTTCAAAAAATCATATTTTATGAGCTAAATTGCTGAGAATCAATATCCCATTAACACTAGATTTCATATAATCATTAAAATCCAAATTTAATGAATAACAATAAATTTTGATTAAATTTAGAAAGAATATTATATTATAGTCTATAAACGAAGAACAGTGAAATTTATTAAAAATATAAAAATTTACAAAGCAATAACAATAGAATCTTAAACTGTAAAAATCTTCAGAAATCAACCTCTCCCTCCCATCAATTATTTTACTGGATATAAATATTTTGTGGTTATATTGCAGAGTATTTTTTTCGTTAGTAAAAAAATACAAGTGACAGGTTTTTGACCAAAAAAAAAATCCATTGTTATTTGAAAATTAATCTGCTATCAGCAATTTAATAGTTAGAAAATCTTGTAGATTAATTAAAGGTAATGAATCTAAAAACGATGATGTGACATCACAAAGTTATTAAACAAAATAAATTAGTTAACAAGTTATTAAGAATGTAATTTTAATTTTAACCCCACACTTTCTTCTTCTTTTTTTTCTAATTCAGTATAATTATCTTTTCTTAATCACTGTTGAGTATATATATTAACAAAGTTGATATAAGAATATATTCATCACGAGGTTAAGAAAAAAAACGTATAAGCAAGGAGCACAGAATTTTTTTGAAATCAAATTTGAGTTATGAGGTCTTCTACTTTGCTTGTAGTTTCTTGTGTGCTCATGTTCTTCATTAGTAATCATGCTAAAGGTACTATATAGTTCTGTATCTAGTATGATTGCTTACTAGCTCAATACAAAAATGTTCGCCGTTATTAATGACAAAAATTGTTCACTGTAAATAAAAAAATAGCTTATAACTTGTAATGCTATCAATTGTTTCTCAAAACATTTAGTCCACAGTTTAACATTTTGTGGTTTGTATAATACAGTTGTGGCGGAAGAGCATAAGCGTGAAATTACTAAATGGTTTGCTGGAGTTTGTGGTCCTAACGGAAGCAAGACTTGCGCAGACGCCATGAAAGAGTCCCAATACTATCCTCGTTGCGATTGTAGAGATGACAATTTTCCAACTGGACATTACTGCATGTGTTTTTATAGTTATTATCCTT